TGACTCATCCAGAGAACCTTTAGCAAAATGATCACAGAGCGTTCCTTAGAGGCTACTTAGTGATACACCAACAGCTGAAGTAAGACACTCGCTATCCCCATGAGGTGTTTGTTGTAGACTACAGGAGGTTGGAACTGATGATACAGCCTGCTAATAAGATTTTATAGTTATTTCCTTGTGTCTTTGTTTCAAAACATATCTCAGGGTGCCCTCCTAGTGCGTTTTGTGCTGCTCCAACAAACTACCTGAGACTTAGTTATTTACAAAGAACAGAAGTTTATTTTCTCATAGTTATGCAGGCTGGGAAGTCTAAGATCAAGGCACGGGCAGGTTCAGTTGTCTGGTAAGGGCTGTAACCTCCAGAGGAGAGGAATGCAGTGTCCTCCCAGGGTAAATGGTGTAAAGGCAGAGGCCGGACGTGGTGGCTCAAGCCTGTAATCCCAGCACTTTGGGAGGCTGAGATGGGCAGATCACTTGAGTTCAGGAGTTCGAGACCAGCATGGACAATATGGTGAAACCCCATCTCTACGAAAAATACAAAAATCAGCCAGGTATAGTGGTGTGTGCCTATAGTCCCACCTGCTCAGGAGGCTGAGGCAGGAGAATCCCCCAAACCTGGGAGGCAGAAGTTGCAGCAAGCTGAGACGGAACCACTGCACTCCAGCCTGAGTGACAGAGTGAGACTCCATCTCAAAAAAAAAAAAAAAAAAAAAGAGTAAGGGCAAGTTACCAAATGCTACATAGAACCTCTTTTACATGGACCTTAATCCCTTACATATATGAGAAAGAAGCCCTCATGGCCTAACCGTCTTTTAAAGGCCCCAACACTTAATGCTATTACATTGGCAACATCTAAATTTTGGAGGGGACACATTCAAACCATAGCACCCCCAAGGCCTTCATGTTCATGTGGAACATAGCTTAGTTTCATCTCATCTCAAAATCAAGCCTTTTGGCATCTGACCCACTCTTAGCACACCACTAACCCTGCAGAGACTGTAGGAGGGTGAGCTTCACAGGCTGGTGACAGAACAACCCTTGGAGGTAGGAGACACAAAAGTCTCACATAGGAGTCACATTATCAGATGTTTGGGTTGTGAAATAAGAGTTTGGAAAGCTAAATTGTTTGAAGGAATGATATCAAACTAATGTCCAAGGGATCTATTTAAAAACAGGAAATCCAAGCCAAAATATGTGCCACTTAGATCTCAGGATTAGTTTGTATATCCCATCCTGAAGGAGTAACTAAACCACAAACATAAAGAAGGGATTTTCTGTTTACTTGAGATAAACAGTGAGGCACAGGATTTGATCCCATCTCTGCTCTTACTTCTTTTCCCAGATGGTTGTAAAAAAATCAGTGCTATTACATAAGAATCCAACACAAAAATCAGTGCCAATGGAGCATCTGGGGAAAGGGAAAAAAGGGACAAGTATCACTTCCTCTGTGTTTTAGGGATAATAATGAAATCAATACAGATAAATTAGACATCTGTGTGATATTTTCCCCCTGCAAGCTTCACAGAACTGTAGGAAGTGACCACAGCCAGACTAGACCTTGTAAGTACTGTATCCAATTCCTTCCTTTATAGAGGAGGATCCCAAATGGCGGGTTAGGGGGTGTGTTTGTCCTGCCTGGGTCATGAGGCAGACTGGATGGTCTGCCTCAACTATTCCTGAGAGATGGTTGCTTGGCAAAGCTATGGAGAAAAGCTTTGTATTTTGCAGACAAGAGAGACCGGAAGGCTGGGCTGGGTAGGTTCACAGAGGACATCTACATTACGTCTCTTGCTGACAGATTAGGAAACTGAGCCTCAAGGAGCTAAGGGTCTTGGTAAAAATCACAGCTTCCCAAGCTTGCATCATCATGCCACTTCTCTCACCATTAGCTTTAAGTTTTATGTAACTATGATCATCTGCAAGCATGCCTTGGACTTTATAATTTTTTAAACACGAAGAATCCCCCTCTTTTCATACTACTCAGGGTTCAGAAAATTTGTTGCCTTCGTTTGAAATGTGGAGAAGTCCTGTTTCTAACCAGGCTTTCCCATGGACTTTTGATAAATTCCTTCAACTTTGGATTACTGAAACCCAAAACCCCAAATCACTCTTTCTAAGGTTAAGAACCCAAAGAAGTCATTTTAACGATATATCTCACCCTTATAAGGTCCTATCACTTGCTGTAGTTCATTACAGAAGACAAATATCAGAGCAGACCTTTCCATTCCCTTCTTTCTCCTTAACGAGGTGTAGATCAAAGAATCATGAACCAGGATTGAAAAGGTCCCAAAATGTAATTCAGTCTGATCACCTCTCTGAAGCTAGGATCATGAATTATAACCTCCTGGCCAAACGGTCACCCAGTTGATGACAGAATTCTTGTAGTGCCAAGAATTCCACTTTGTTCTGAAACATTACTATTCTCAAAGCTACTCCTTATATTTCACTTAATTCTATCACTCCTGCAGCTTCCTCTGACCTGTAGAATCTTTCATAAGGCTCTGCTTCCTGTGACTATGAAAGATTGCATAGGCCGGGCGCGGTGGCTCAAGCCTGTAATCCCAGCACTTTGGGAGGCCAAGGCGGGTGGATCACAAGGTCAAGAGATCGAGACCATCCTGGTCAACACGGTGAAACCCCGTCTCTACTAAAACTACAAAAAATTAGCTGGGCATGGTGGCGCGTGTCTGTAATCCCAGCTACTCAGGAGGCTGAGGCAGGAGAATTGCCTGAACCCAGGAGGCGGAGGTTGCAGTGAGCCGAGATCGCGCCATTGCACTCCAGCCTGGGTAACAAGAGTGAAACTCCGTCTCAAAAAAAAAAAAAAAGATTGCCTCCACATGCTTGTGTTATTGATAACATTTTTTGAAATGAAATAAACTGCTTATAATAGTGAAATCTCTATCAATATATTTAAAGTGTTTGCTTTTATTTACTCATCAGACAAAAACAGTTGACTACACTTTCAACAAATATGGAAGATACATGTGGATTGACCTGCCTGAAAAAAGCAATGTGCTGCTCATGAAAGCAGCACTGAGCAGCTCTGATGAGAGCATCTCTAAAAGAAAGCCAGTCAAGCCTCACAGCAAATATACTCAGGGGCAAGAGGCTGGCGTCACTGCTGATTGAGAAAGATAGCCCTTATGTATTAAACTACTGGGCAGAGAAAAGCAGACAGATTTCAAATATGAAGGCAGATTGCACATCACAAGGTCACACATTCCAAACTGCAGACACTGATTTGTAATCAAGTTCTTTTGAAATTGCTCTGTATGTGGGCAGCTCTATGTGGCACACCCCAGGGAAAGTGACAACCAGGATTTTTTTTAGTGATATTTAATGATTTTCCCTGGGGGTCAGCTAGTAAAATAATACAGGTGGAAATGCTTTATAAACTGTAAAGTACCATAAAATGTGATGTTGCATCATCATCATTTTATATTGAACCCTTGTGTGCTTACCATGTGCTTATACTGGTTAGCTGCTGAACATTCTAGACATTTTTACTGTCTCATATAAAAGAGTTTTTTTTTTTTTTTTTTTTTTTTAATTCACACCAAAGACTTGATCTTCTAAAAGGTTTCTTTACCTGGCTCTAGGCATATAAAAACTGATGATACACTAAAACTGCATACATTTATGGTTCATGTATAAAGTCTTAAAAAGCATAAAAGAAGAAACTGCCCAAAGAACACAGGCATAAATAGGAGCAGGAAGGTTTTTGATTTGATGAAAATGAGTCAGTTTTGCCTGTAGGCCCATGAGACGATGGTTGTATAACCAAAGTAGGGAGTGGGGTCAGGTTGACACAGCTGTATTTCCGGGCAAGATGAATTACACTGTGTTCAGAAAAGGGGAAAGAACTAGATGCCCTTGAAGGTACTTCTTTTCCCAAATTATTAGTCGATTTTTGAACCAGTAACAATAGGTAAGTTAAGAAGATATTAACAAGCCTTCCAAGAAACTGAACAAGGCTGCTGTCTTCTAAAATTAGACACAAACACAAATTAATCCTGAGATGTTCTCTCTCTCTTTTTTTGAGACGGAGTCTCGCTCTGCTGCCCGGGCTGGAATGCAGTGGTGTGATCTCGACTTACAACCTCTGCTTCCCAAGTTCAAGCTATTCTCCTGCCCAGCCTCCTGAGTAGCTGGGACTACAGGCACGCACCACCATGCCAGGCTAATTTTTGTATTTTTAGTAGAGACAGGGTTTCACTATGTTGGCCAGGCGGGTCTCGAACTCATGACCTTGTGGTCCGCCTGCCTTGGCCTCCCAAAGTGCTGGGATTATAGGCGTGAGCCACTGCACTTGGCCCCAATCCTAGGCTGTTCTATGTCCATGAAAAAAAAGAGAGATGAGCCATTCATCTCACTAGTTTCCATGTGCTCTGACAGTCTATGCTAAATAATGTACAGATTAAGGACACAGACTCTGGAGTTAAGAGTGCCTGAGTTCAAATCCTGGCTCTATCACTTATTAGCTGAATAAATTTAGGTATTGACTTCATTAAACTATACCTGCATTTCCTCATTTACTAATGGGATCATTACAAGAAAAATAATTTGTAAATGTGGCTGGCACACGTAAGTGCAATAATATGTACTTACTCTTATTCTTTTCATGGGCTTGCTAACCAAGCCCAGTTACTAGAAGTGCCTGTGAGAAGGGCTAAATAAAAACCCCCTGTCATATTTTATTTGGGTTTCAAAGTTTTATGTTTATATATTTTTAAAATGAAAGCAAGAAGTTCCACCTTTTTCTGCCAAGGAACAATGAAACTGTCCACTCAATGACTGCGGTTTCCATGAGAAAGTAAGTGGAAACAGATGTTTCTGAAAAATGAAAAACCATGCCATATCTTTGGGGTCACACACATAAAACTTTCTACCAGCCATCCCAGAGCCAGCTGCCAGCCTCTTGCAGCTGGAACCTGCCTGGGTACCAGGACCCCCAAATTCCTTTTCTTCTCCTTCCCCACAATTCACAAAATGCTAACCTTCTATGAAATCGGAGGCTGTGTAAGGACGGTGATTGGGGCTGTTCTCTGCAGGATTGTTCAGGGTCTCCAAGGCCGATTCAATGGCTTCCACCAACTCATCCCGCTTGTCCTTCCTCACGGGCTTCTCCTCAGGGTGGCGGGTAAGGCCAGTCTCCAGCTGGTACACTTTCTGCAGAGTGAAGCTATCAAAAGGCACTGCTGCATACTCCGTGGCCAGCTTCACACCGGTATGCACCTCTGCCTTGTCCACCTGCGAGTGCAGGAAGGCCAGGAGGTCAGCCTGGGTTTTCTCTGGAGGGCTCCTGTCTAGCCCCAGGCCAGCAGCATCGCTGGCTTGGTACTGCCCATTCCTGAGCTGCTCACTCCTCTCCTGCAGCTCCTCCTTGAGCTGTGCGATCTGCCGCTTCAGGCTGCTCACGTAGTTGCGGTGCTGCTCCTCCCACTCCTGCAGGACGGCCTGGTACCCCTCCTTCCCCGTGGGGCTGTTGGCCCTGGGCAGTGCCAGCTGCTCCTCGTCACCTTTTGGGGTGCAGGCCAGCATGTACAGGACGGAGATGGCACAGCAGAGGAGCACCAGCAAAACCACCACCCGGGAAATCCACGCAAGCAGCCCCCGACGAACCATCATCATTCAGGAATCAGCCGGTGGCATCCCTGAAAGTTGGGGCCCCCACGGAAGGGCTTCCTGGGCTAGACCACAGGAAGCATGCGTTTGGGGCCCCTGGAGCTGCTTGCATCCATTTCCTTCTAGAATGAGTTCTGCCACTTGGAGTTAACCACCACACAGAGCAGCTTCTCTACTTTTAAAGGATGATCTTGCAGGCAGAAGCAATGACTTAAGTGAAATCTCCAGGTTTTCACCTTCATTCCCATCATAGCCTTCATGATGTGCAGCCAACAGCAAAAGGGGACCTGAAAAGAAACACAAATGACAGCAGCACTTAATCAAGACAACAACTCCCTCATGCTCCCTACAGCAATCAATATCCAACAGATCTCCTGTGAGAGTTATGGAAAATGCTTTTGATAGATGATTAACTATTGTTAAATGTGTAAAAATCCGAACACATATGAACATCTACAGTATAATGCAAATAAGCAACAAAGGACACGGAAAAAAGATTGGAAGGAAAATGGCAAAATGTGAACAATAATTCTCTCCAGATAGAAGGATTAAGAGTAATTTTCCTGATTCTATTTTTCTATATCTTATAATTTCTGCACAGTGGCACACGTTCTGACAGTAAAAGGGAGAAAAGAAAAATGTTCATGACATTGAAGTTCCTGGCAGGGGACTACTTGGCCAGAGCCTGTGCTATGTTTCTTTGGTCCCTCAAAGTCTAATGTGACCCTCAGTGTTGGGAGGTGGGGCCTGACGGGAGGTGTCTGGATAATGGGGGTGGATCCCTCAGGCATGGCTTGGTGCCTTTCTTGCTAGAGTGACTTGGCACTCTTGGCTCCCATGACAACTCTTTGTTGAAAAGAGCCTGGTGCTTTCTCTCTCTCTTCCCACTCCCTCCTGCTCTCACTGTGTAATGCCCATTGCCCTTCACTTTCCACAATGAGTGGAAGCAACCCAAGGGTCTCATCAAAAGCAGACGCTGATGCCATGCTTTCTATACAGCCTGCAGAACTGTGAGCCAGATAAACCTCTTTCTAAGTCACACAGCTTCAGGTGCTCCTTTAGGGCATCATGAATGAACTAAGCCTGCCAAGCTGGAGTGGATGCAGCCAGGTGAGCCCACAGGGGTTCACCTGTCTGCACTCACTCAGAGCAGGCCTGAAAGTGCATCAACATGGTTCCTAAGCTTTCTGATGACGAACTGGGGATGCGCCCAGAGGTTCAAATACACAAATAATAAATGTGGACAGTAACACATCCAGAAGGGATCAGGGGACAGTGGTTCCAGCCAACTCTTCAATTCTGCTTGCAGACAGGAGACGGTAAGTTTATTATAGAAGGGATGAGGTTGGGAGAAGAACAGAGACCAGAATCAGAAATACTGTCCTGTTGGGACCCAAATCTCAGATATATCTCTGCTCCAGTGTCTGTGGGGAATTCTGTGTCCTGATTGTTCATCAGAAATACTCAGACAGGTCCTAGGGCCTTTCACATGCCCCGCTCCTCAACTCTCAAACTTGACAAATGAGAAGCCAGTCTGACTGCCTTCTCCATCTCCCCCGGGGGGGGCACCGTTCCTCCTCCTCCACCCATCGTGGACATTTCCACAGCACACTCCTCTTTAGATGTTCTCCTTCCTTAATCCCTTCTCCTTGTCTTCCCCTACCCATCTTAGACAGAAAAAACAAGTAAAAGAATTATTAATGGAAAATAGACCAAATCGAATTTCTTTTCTAGGGACATTCTAATGAAACCTTTCTAGATGCATCTTTAACACTTCACTCAGAAACAAGCTCCCTGAGGGTACCATGCCTTTGCCATTTTATAAAAACTTGACATTTTAAGTAATCCTCATGATAACTAAATTATTCTTTATATAGTCTTCACCTGACTCAGAAAGCCAGATTCTGGGCCAATAATCATCTCATTTATTAGTAGTCTATGCCATTTAGTGATGAGAAGAAGAGCCCAGCCCAGCCAATTTGCAAGTTCAGGACCTTTGGGAGAGAAGAGAGAGATGTTCTTCTCAAAGACAGCATGTTAACAACCTCCTTGACTTTGCTTAAATATTCACTTGCTATACAATATGTCTGTACACAACAGTTCCTCTTCTATTACCCAGGAGATGTGCCTCTTAGTGATATTGCTATGTTATCAAAATAGTTTATTTCTCAACTGTTCTTAAACCTTCAACACTTAACATTCTAATATTTCCCTAAGCCCAAGGATTCTCTCTACTGTAATTTAGAACAACACACAGTTATTAGTGCTAAGTTTAAAGTACATGTTTAGTCCTGGAACCATTTTCCATCTGATGAAAATCTTGGGATTTGTATAATTACTATAATTCTGTGACTGAAAACAGCTCAGCTTTGTTGTTCAGGCACCTTGCTGTTTTTAATGAAATCTCTCAGACAAACTCATTATATCCAAATATTAAATTACCAGTGAAGGCATGTTATCATTCTATTCAGCCACTTTTAAAGACTCCTACTTTAAATAGATTGTCATTAAAGACAAAACAAGCAAATCAAAAAACAAAAATGAAATATTCAGGACATTTTGTTGTGTTGTGGAAACTTAAAATTGTATTTGCATAAAGAATGAAAATTATGTTGGGTAGCTGAACACTGTTTAAAAATTAATCTGATTTAAAAATTTAAAACTATTCAGTATGATATTGGCTGTGGGTTTGTCATAAATAGCTTTATTATTTTGAGATATGTTCCATCAATACCTAGTTTATTAAGAGCTTTCAGCATAAAGGGCTATTGAACTTTGTCAAAGGCCTTCTCTGCCTCTGTTGAGATAATCATGTGGTTTTTGTCTTTGGTTCTGTTTATGTGATGGATTACATTTATAGATTTGTGTATGTTGAACCAGGGTTACATCCCTGGGATGAAGCCTACTTGATCGTGATGGATAAGCTTTTTGATGTGCTGTTGGATACGGTTTGCCAGTATTTTATTGAAGATTTTTGCATAAATGTTCATCATGGATACTGGCCTGAATTTTTCTTTTTTAGTTGTATCTCTACCAGATTTTGGTATCAGGATAATGTTGGTCTCATCAAATGAGTTAGGGAGGATTCCTTCTTTTTATATTGTTTGGAATAATTTCAGAAGAAATGGTACCAGCTTCTCTTTTTATGTCTGGTAGAATTTGGCTGTGAACCCATAAAAACCTGGACTTTTTGGGGTTGGTAGGCCATTAATTGCTGCCTCCACTTCAGACCTTGTTATTGGTATATTCAGGGATTCAGCTTCTTCCTGATTTAGTCCTGGAAGGGTTTAAGTGTCCAGGAATTTATCCATTTCTTCTAGATTTACTTGTCTATGTGCATAGAGTTGTTTGTACTAATCTCTGATAGTAGTTTGTATTTCTGTGGAATCAGTGGTGATATCCCGTTTATCATTTTTTATTGCATTTATTTGATTCTTCTATTTTCTTTTTTATTAGTCTGGCTAGTGGTCTATTTTGTTAATCTTTTCAAAAAACCGCTCCTGGATTTATTAATTTTTGAAGGGTTTTTTTGTGTGTCTCTATCTCCCAAGGGTGCCCTCTCTCGCCATTCCTATTCAACATAGTATTGGAAGTTCTAGCCAGAGCAATCAGGCAAGAAAAAGAAATAAAGGGTATTCAATTAGGAAAAGAGGAAATTGAATTGACTCTATTTTCAGATGACATGATTCTATATTTAGAAGACCCCGTTGTCTCAGCCCACAATCTTCTTAATATGATAAGCAACTTCAGCAAAGTCTCAGGATACAAAATCAGTGTGCAAAAATCACAAGCATTCTTATACACCAATAACAGACAAACAGAGAGCCAAATCAAAAGTGAACTCCCAATTACAACTGCTAAAAAGAGAATAAAATACCTAGGAATACAACTAACAAAGGATGTGAGGACCTCTTCAAGGAGAACTACAAACCACTGATCAAGGGAAAAAAAGAGAGGACACAGATGGAAAAACATTCCATGCTCATGGTTAGAAAGAACCAATATTGTGAAAATGGCCATACCGTCAAAAGTGATTTATAGATTCAATACTATCCCCATCAAACTACCATTGACCTTCTTCACAGAACTGGAAAAAAACTACCTTAAACTTCATACGGAACCAAAAAAGAGCCCTCATATGCAATACAATCCTAAGCAAAAACAACAAAGCTGGAGTCATCATGCTACCTGACTTCAAGCTATACTACAAGGCTACAGTAATCAAAACAGCATGGTACTGGTACCAAAACAGAGATATAGACCAAAGGAACACAATAGGGGCCTCAGAAGTAATGTCACACCTCTACAACCATCTGATCTTTGACAAACCTGATAAAAACAAGCAATGGGGAAAGGATTCCTGTTTAATAAATGGTGTTGGGAAAACTGGCTAGCCATGTGCAGAAAGCTGAAACTGGACCCCTTCCTTACATCTTATACAAAAATTAACTCCAAATGGATTAAAGATTTACATATAAGACCTAACACCATAAAAACCCTAGAAGAAAACCTAGGCAATACCAGGTCATAGGCATAGGCAAGGACTTCATGACTAAAATACCAAAAGCAATGGTGACAAAAGCCAAAATAGACAAACAGGATCTAATTAAACTTAAGAGCTTCTGTACAGCAAAAGCAATAATCATTAGAGTGAATGGGCAGCCAAAAGAATGGGAAAAAATTTTTGCAAGCTACCCATCTGACAAATGGCTAGTATCAAGAATCTACAAAGAACTAAAACCAATATACAAGAAAAATAAATAAATAACCTCAATAAAAGGGGGCAAAAGGTATGAACAGACACTTTTCAAAAGATATTTATGTAGCCAATAAACATATGAAAATAATGCTCATCATCACTGGTCACTAGAGAAATGCATATCAAAACCACATTGAGATGCAATATCATACCAGTTAGAATGGCAATCATTAAAAAATCTGGAGACAACAGATGTTGGAGAGGATGTGTAGAAATAACACTTTTATACTGTTGGTAGGAGTGTAACTTAGTTCAACCATTGTGGAAGACAGTGGATCTAGAAATAGAAATACCATTTGACCCAGCAATCCCATTACTGAGTATATACCCAAAGGATTAAAAATCTATTTATTATAAAGACACATGCACACACATGTTCACTGAGGCACTGTTTACAATAGCAAAGACTTGGACCAAACCCAAATGCCCATCAAAGATAGACTGAATAAAGAAAATGTGGCACATATACACCATGGAATACTATGCAGCCATAAAAAAGAATGAATTCATGTCCTTTGCAGGGACGTG